CTGTCCACAACTTTGCTGTCATCAGCATACCCAAAGGCTCCTGGAAGTAACATATCATTGATATGCAGCAGAAAGAGAGTTGCGGACAGTACGGAACCCTGACGAACTCCGGCTACGGAATCCTGAGGATCTATCGCCCGATGTTCGGAAGAGTAGCCTTCTACGACCACTCGAACGAACGTTCATACAAGAAATCCGAAATCCAGTTGCAAAGGTCAGTGGGAAGCCCATAAGAGGGAAGCTTGCTTAAAAGACTTGCGTGCCAAACTCTGTCAAAGGCTTTAGAAATGTCTAAAGACACTGCAATGGCTTCACACAAGAAGTAGCTGAGGTACGCCGTGTCAACCGGACATCTGATCTGCGTCTCGGTGAGGAACAGCAGTTGCGGTTTGTCGGTTTTCAGGTGGTGGTGGACCGCTTCGATATTTGAGTGCACCCCTTTGATGTTGGTGAGGTGCACTTTTAATGGGAGGACGAGCAACCGCTGTGAAAAATGTATTCCTTTTTTGTGACTCAAAGGAGATGGCCACTTGGTCCTCCGGTCGCCAACCGGCAAGGTGGAGCATTCTGGGATTTTTCGTTATGTAGCGGGGCAGCCTTTCACGGGTGGCTTTCCCGTTAATTTGGTCCCCAACTTCCCACGGTCGGCCAGCAATGCACAGTGCTTCGGATCCCGCTAGTCTCCAGTAATGAGTGCTCAGTGTGGCAGTACAAGCAGCTACTACTCGTCGTTAGACACAATGCAACTGTTCAGACCCGACCTCTTAATGGCAACTCCCGAACACGAGCCGGAACACGGATAAACCATTTGGTGACTCGACTGCGTCGGGAGGGTTGTTACCCGCCACGGCCGAAGCGTACCATCAGTAGTTGTTGCTCTTTAGCACCACCCAGGGGTATCTTGTTGGGTCTCAAGGGTAAACCTATGGAAGCGAGCAACATTGGCCCCCAAATTTTTTTTTTTATAAAAATTGGTATTGCTTTTCAAATAGCCCTTGTGAGCATTCGGACTTGAATATCCGTGAAATTTTTTGTTCCCATAACATTTTGTTCAAATTTACAATTCCGCGTAAATACCTTCGTCGTAAGATTGTTGCCCTTCTGGCACTACCATTTAGAAGAAGTCACCAGTCTGCCGTCTGTCTAGACTACACAATGAGCACAGTGCCACAGTTCTGGAACTCGGTAACCAGTCTCCGTAAAGCAATAATCAGCATATAAACATCTTATCTATAAGTATTATTATTGATTTTCATGTTTTTTATCTATCAATTATCCATATTGTTTTCTGTTTCTTTTGTAATTGTATTGGATTTCATAGCACTTAAATATTAAAACTAATCTGCTCAACGCAAGTTGTGTTTCATCTGTCACTAGTTGTGCACTTAGCATAATACTAATAAGAAATTGTGTAGCGTGTTATTTGATGTAACAACTGTTGATGAACATAATAAATAAAAAAAATAATGAACTGTTATGTTAATTGCATAACGTACAAACTAGACAGGAGCCAAAAAAAAAAAAACAGGTTGAGCATCTTTCAGGGAATTCCCGCGGTTTTGTTTATGATACTAAGTGACGGGACGAACATGTCGTGCACCTGGTGGTAAGCGACACGCCTATCCATAGCAGTTGGAGTGCTACTGAGAGCTTTAAATCGCAAAGATCCTTAATATGAATATCACCTTGAGACGAAAACTGACAAGTCCCATGTGCCTGTAATTTCACAGGCACCCTTAAGCGTGAAACACACCGGGAGCGGGTGCGGGTCGGGTGCGTGTCGGGTCGGGAGCGCAGCCGGTCTAATTCCGTGTATTTAATGTCGGGTGCGGGCAGGTCGTTCTCAGATAATCTCAAAAGATGTGTCCCTTTCAATAACTTTTATATTATTACATGAATGCTATGCATTACTTATTTAATATGATTGCTTGTTTATTTAGTCTGTGTTACATATAAAAAGACTACTTTACTACCTCACAGTAATAAATGAAGACTGAAAAAGTGGGTAATTTCTCATTCATGGGAGCCGGTTGCACATCTCCCTACTTTTAAGAAATGACGAAAAAAAACTAAACACTCGTGGGAATTGCAATATTTCCCATTGAAGATAAACTCTAATAACTTTCACGTCGAATACATACCGTAACTTTCCGAGTTATTATAAACAAATATGCTTTCTTGGGAATGCAAAATATGTTCAAATTTTTCTTATCATTAGTGTTATTTCAACTAAAAACTTAATAAAAAAAAGTTCGTACCGCATCACCTTGACCCTTCGCACACGTGAGAAGGGGTTCCTGTCGGATTGGAGTGTATACCTCACGCGATACATGCAGCCGTAGACGGTGGTATGCGTCTCTAGGTGTGGTCACCTAGAGGTGCCGGTGATGGTTTTATACCAATTTATCGAATATCGAAGTTATATCCGCTCACGCGATTCGTGCGTCTCTGGAAGCATACCACACCTAGAGGTGCCGTTGATGATTTTATACCGATTTATCGGATATCGAAGTTATAACAGGTAAAAGAACTAATACTAATTGCTATTTCATTAACTACTCTAGCAAACCATAAAGTTTTTAATGTCTGGGTCTGTCATTTAAAAAAA